CTGCTGACCTCAGCTGAGCTATTTTTTGTGCATAAATTTAAGAATATATCTAAGCCTGCAAGACCTGGACCTAAATCATAATTTCACAACTTCAGAAAGGTTTGGTGTAAGGTAGCAGGAGAATGCTGAAGCAATATTATGCATAACCATGACACTCCTTTTTTTCAGCACTTCAGATTCACTCTGAAGAGTATAGGTAATATATGCTACACATTATAGCAAAGCAGGGATTTTCAGTGATATCGGGTGCAACTGTATGGTTATGAGAGCTGTTGGACAAGCTTTCAGGGCATCAAGTGCCCAGAGGAAGGGCACTTGATGCCCAGAATCTTGTCCAGTAACTCTCATAGTGATATCTTTGGACAATTGTGATGCCTGAAAGCTTGTCCAACAACTCTTCCAATCATGCAGATGTCCAAAGATATCACTAAAATCCTTGCCTCTCAGACAGTTCCTGGGCCATCATGGCTACAACAGCACTCTAACCCTACTGCACATTATAGTCACACTATAGAAACTGAGACACCATTACTGAGGCAACAGTAGAGGTGAAACAAGAAATACTGTTCTTGGATGGACCACAGGTCCAAACCATGCAATAACCTGTATATCATTATGATGCCACTAAGTCCTTTGTGGACCAGCCAATGAATCCTTGAGACTCTTGCATCTATAACCCCTTCCACTCTGAATGGTTCAGCTCTGAGTAGGGTGACCATATTTAACAAGTAGCAGTAAATTACCCATGCAACAATATAAGGTATTTTTATAATAGTACAAATGATATTAAGTTTCTTCCTCTTAGAATATACAATGAGCCTTAGGGCACATAGTGAGAACTTGCTGCCGAAGTAGCTCAAAAATACTATACAGGTACTTAAAAGCTCAGTGGTGTTCTCACTGAGGTCAGTAGCAACATTCACAGATGTCAAGGGCAAGAATAGGCCTCAAGTGTCTTAGACATTTTTTGCATTCACATGCCCACATATCTGTACCTCATGGGAGGGTTGTATTTGAAGGTTCTTGTTGGCATCAATTAGGCAGCTATTCTAAAAGATTTGTCTTGATGCTTTCTAAATAATTTGCAATATTATCCTATATACTTTATAACTAATGAGGCTGGTGTGCTTTCTATCAGGTATTGATATTGAGCTTGAGGATTTTGCACATTTGAAATAAACATGGGCCCTTGCCATAAAGGGTCAGTTCTGGATTTTGAATACTAATTTGGGAGATATGGTGTATGACATTTAAGTATTGGCTTAGGGACTAACAAAAGGTTGTGTACTTCTACCCAAAATATATAGATACCTGAAATTGGTGTAAACAATACCCATTAATTACAGGAACAGCCTGCATTAAGCTTTTCTCACACCATAAAGGCTCTTTTTCTCATTTAGGAGAGTGCCCTAGTCTGTAATAGCAGCCTTGAAGTTGTCAGGACCTAGTCAGTTCAGGGCTTCTTCACAAGTCTCCTCATCAGTTTTACCAGTTAGGCAGGTAATTGGAGTCAAGTTAATAAATAGAGACTAGGGCCAAAGACTTAGTCTGTATTCAAGCAGTTTATGTATCTAAAGATATCCAAATAATTGATATTTGTTACAGTATAATGCATGGGAAAAAAATTATGTGGTTAACCTAATTATGCAATTATCCAATATGCATATAAGGGGAATACACATATAGTGTCTAACAGAAATCTTTTAGAGATTTCAATAAGGTTGAAGCTAAATGGGTTCTGGAAAGAATAGGTTGCTACAGAAATTACTCATAAATACAATAAAATCTCCAGCCGTTACTTAATATTTTTCCTGTGTCAAAAATGCTTTCTTAAGAAACACACGTGGTTTCCCATCATGAGCATGTTAACAGCAGTATGTTCTTTAACAGGCAGGGTAAATAAAAATGAACTTTCCAATATGATCCCTTCTCAGTGGGATATTTCAGTAGATACAATTAGCTGCCTGTGATGCAACCTTAAATTGCAAATGAAACGACCAGGAGACTGCTATGTTTCATTCCCAAGCTAAGCCTGGGTGGAGGGGTGAACAATAAAAATCGGGTTTGAAACAATATTCTTGAGAGACCCAAATGCTTGGATGACTAAGTAAAGAGAGCACTTTTTGACACAGAAAAAGGTAAGGTAAATACATCAGTGAGTTGGAAGGTAAACACCATGGATAGAAATTACATAAAAACAAGTATAAGTGATTGGAAACTAGTTCAAATCTGTAACACAATAAAAGATCAGCGCACATAAACCACTTGCATAATGGCCCAAACTGGTTTAAGATAAACCTGGATAGATGTAGTATCAGACTTAAATGATTTAGGTTAATTTGGTTTATTGAACTTCTGTCCGAGATCTCCTCCAGATTCAAGTTAACTCACAGTCCCCCAGCATCCCAGGATGCTTTGTACCTCCCCCCGCAAGCCCACCCTCACAGGGTGGGTGGGCTAGTCTTGGCCAAAGCTGTCTGCTGCAGCTGAGCAGGGACTCATGCTCTAGCACGCCCAGCTTCTGGCCTGGGCCACTGCAGGCATGTAGCTGCATTTCTGGAATCAAAATGAATGTCTGTTCACTTGCTTCTCAGTTCAATCTACACAGCTTAAACTAACCTACAAAGGCTGAACCGATTCATCCTCAGGCTTTTTGACTGTCTGTATTTAGTCCATAGGAGAAGAACACCTATTTAAAGTAAAGGACAAGTTGGCACAAGAACAAATCAACACAGAATGCCCTTGAATAAATTCAGGCTGAAATTAAAAGGTCTCTAACCATGGAAGTCATGAAGTTCTGGACCAGCCTCCAACAGAATTTCTAGGGGCAAAAAAGGAGATGAATTAGTTTGTGGAAGGGGAATGCTGCATAGGGCATGGTTGTCCATGATGAACCAGGAGGTTCCTTTTAATTCTCTCCTCTTATGAATTTTTCTATTTCAACTAGCTCTTAAAGGAAGGGACACAATTCTGAGAAACTTTTGAGAGGTTGAAGAAATTCTGACCTAAGCTGAGATGCTGCTGATACAGCAACTCTTGCTGCTGATACAGCTGCTTTTACAGGCTAGCAACCATTATAATTTGTCATGCACACTTTCACAATCCAGGTATTATGTACTCCCTGCCACAGCTGCTAAATGAGAGAGGGAAGTAAATGATTGTCTTTATATCTATCTGTTCTTTTCCTTTCTTAAATATGCGCTGCATCATTTAAGCTTTTCCTATGATGGTGGCTTGTAAGCCACTCCATCCCCCTACAGCAGTGGTTTTCAAACTGGTCCGTGGAACCTTGGGGTTACGCTCGGGGTCATTAGTGGCTCTTCACAGAGATTGGAGGCAATAGGGGAGCAGGCTGGAGGTGGTGTGCTGTCTTGTTGGGCTGGGATGCCTGCTCTGTGTCAGCTCACAGGACAAGGTAGGGCTTCTGTGGCAGAAGTGATATGAAAATGTTCTGTGAGTCTAAAAAGTTTAAAAACCACTGCCCTAGAGGAAAGACAAAAAGATGAAATCTCCTAAGATAACTGCAAAAGTCACAAAGCCCTAATGCTTGACATGGGCATCCAAATAGGGCTCATGGTAAGCAACCTGAGACTATTAAATCTTCAAGTAAAACTGCAATACATACCACAGAGGGATCCACACTGGGATGAGAGGACACCCTTTGATCTCTGTGGCATTAGGAGAGTGCCAGCTGTTTTTACCTGAGGTTCCAGTTTAGGTGTCCTTTTATCAACACACTGTATTCACAACCTCCAGATCAGACCCTTCAGTTCTTGTTCCACACACAAAGTTCACTACCTTTTAAACCTCCATCTGTGACCACAAAAAAAGAACCAGGGCAATCTTCATTTTAAAACATGCAAATCAAAGTTCCTGTGAAGTGACATGCGACAGCAGCAGCAAAACCCGTCAAAGCTCAGCAGTTTGCATTACTGTAGTGAAGTTGAGCAACTAAAGAAAAGGAATAAGGATTTATTTACAAGAAAGTTTAACCCATGACAGAATTATTATTGCTTCCTAATTCTTCGTGGCATCTGGCTCTTGAAACATCAGAGAGGAGACTAGTCATGAGACATAATGTTCTTTATATCAATTCCAAGGAAGCTAAAAATAAGTACATTAAAAACAAAACCAAGAAAAAAGAATCCCTACATTGGGAGAACAACTTTTAACATGGAAAGTGATTTTTTTTGCTAATGATTATAACACAAACAAGCTTTGGCAGAATTTTATGATGGATGTGTAAGACATCTGTGGCTCCAGACCTATTCCCCAGCCAAAATGTCAAGGCCAATTTCCAAAGCATAGAGGTACAAGAATGATTTAAAAATAGTTGGACAAATTTTTGGACAATCAAAAATATTTTTCTTAATCTTCTGGGAAGCAACTGAAATTATTATTCTCATTATTATCAGCAGTAGTAGTAGTATTTATTTATTTATTGCTTACAACCCCCAAAGATGCCACTGTGAGCAGAAATCAAGAACAGCATTTCAGTGCAAGTTGTTAACATTTGTCAAAATTATAAATAAGTAAAAACCAAGAGTCATGATGGAAAGAGTTTGGTAAGCTCAGCATAGCTTTGCAGTCTTATCAGTCTCTTTCAGCAATGGATTTCAAAGCATTTTACAGATGTTAAGTACGTAAGTAGAATTCTTTATGGTATTACAGAGATAAATATTGTCATTTTATTGCAAGGAAAAGTAGCAAATGTGTGTGGAACATATTAGAACATAAGAAGGGCCGTACTGGGTCAGATCAATGCTCCATCTAGCCTTTGAGGCCTCGGTAAGCTGCCAGAGTTCTACCAAGACCTCCTCAGAGGCTAGAGGCTGATCCCTACCTTCATGTCCCCAAGCACGGTCACCTAAGGACAGACCCCCCTAGCTAAAAAAAATGAGCAGCTGCTAACATCATCTGTATTGGGGACCTCTTGGACTGTGCCAGGCAGGGATGGGCAGATCCCTCTGCGGTGGCCCAGCACATGGAGCTGCCCACACTGTGTGCACTCTGCCACTTACTCTAGAACAGGGGCGGGCAATTATTTCAGGCAGAGGGCTGCTGACTGAGTTTTGGTAAACCATCAAGGGCTGCACAGCAGGCAGCCAGGAGCAGATAAATATTAATTTTCTAAATTTTTTAGGTGCCCCACAGGCTGGATAGAATGCCTGGTGGGCCGCATTTTGCCCACCCTGCTCTAGAAGGTCAAAGCCATCCTGCTGGGCACTGCCCATGCCTACACCCAAGAGGTCCTGTGCAAGCACAGTCCCCACCCACCAGCATTGTTATGAACCTACGAACCCTACCCGTTTTTACTTTGGTTGTCTCAAGTACTTAGTTGTTACAAATTTAATGTAGAGAGCAGCTTGTACTTTCTGTGTGGCCCTCAACTCACAGTCCCCTGTGAGTAACAAATACTCCTGGTGCCACCATTTCCTCTTGTTGGCTGCTGGGCCTGGGAGCAGGAGAGTTGACATGTCACAGGCTCCTGCTCCCTGCTGAGGTTTGTACCCATGCCACCCTCCCCTCTTGGGGGAAGGCCAGGCCTCCTTTCGCTTTGCTGCTGCCTCAGCTACCTGTAGCCCAAGGGAACCTTCACACCGCTAGCAAGACCCCTTCAACAGCAACACCAGCTGGTCCAGAAGCGCTCCTGTCTCCACTCTCCTGTGGTGAGTCTTGTGTTCCACTCCCTTTGTTGTGACCAGCTGACTATACCAGCAGCGCGCTTCCCACCTCCCTCCTGTGTGTGCCCTGTTTGTCTCTCTGTGCTTATCCCCCAGCCCCACCAGCACCTCAGATGGCCTCTCCGCACAAAGTGCAGCCCAAGGAGTCACCCTAGAAACCCCCTGAGCAAGCCACCCTCTCTCTCTTTCCCCCAGACAGAGGGAAATCCCAGGACCCCACCTCCTGCACCTCACCCTCCTTCCCACCTCGTCCCCCATGGCAGGGCAAGAGCCCCCTGAGGGGGCTGGCAACCCAGCAGCTTCCAAGAGGAACAGCTAATGAGACAGGGGAGAACAAGCAGGGCCAGGGAGCTCCCCTGGTCAGTCTCCCCACTATGTCTAACCATGGCAGTGGAAGTGGCAAGGGTTCCTCAGCCAGCTTCTCCACAGGGCATGGTAAGGGGAAAGGGCCTGCTACTCAAAGCAAAGTCCCACCACCTGCAAGGACCAGGTGCGCACTATGAATGAGTATCTTGCCCACTCAGCCTTTCTCCAGTTCTGAAATCTTGGCTGTGCAGTAAGGCAGCTGGAGCTATGCCCAGATAGTTGCAAGGAAACCTCAGGCAGGTGGATCCCTTTTGACAACATCAGCAGGTGGCACAGGGTGCACTTCTGGCTGCCCAACAATGTGCCTACCTCTGAAACTACGTGCAGGCTCTGGGACAGGCAGTGAGGCCTCCATGCTGTATGACAATGGGGTTTTCTTCCTTGCCAGGGAGGCCACCACTCAAGAACCACTGGAAAAGAGGATATCAGTAGGGGGTGTCCACATCCCCATTGAACGCTCTGGAGGAACAAGGGACCAAGGTAGCCCTAGATCTGTTTTCTCCTTCCTCCCCAGTTTGGCTCTCATGCCTCAACTCCTTGACCTGGGGAAAGTCATCTCCCTGGCCACCTTCCTCCTGCTGGGGTGCCAAGACTCCAGCATCTGCCACTGCCAGACCTTCCGCCACCAATTTTTTATCATCCAGCTGGCGGGGGAGGAGTAGAGGTCATGGGAGGGAACCCTTTGTGGTCCCTTTCTCAAGGTTCCTCATAAAAATCTAGTATGTGGTTGGGGAGACAAGGTATAATATCAGATTTGCTGGCTCCTTGGACTCATTTGAGGGGCAATGGTTGCTGGCTGGTGTGCTCTGCTCAGTCTCCTCCCTTGGAGCACTCATTATTAACCTTTGACCCCCCCCTCCCCATCCTTATTTTTGCATTAGTTGTCCCAAGGAATCAGTCACTATGTCTCTAATGTCCTTTCTGATTAAGGGAGACTTATAGTCTGGTGGGCCTAGGCCCCCATTTCACTTGGCATAGCAAAAAAGCCTGTTTCTGACAGTGACAGAAGTGGATACTACAGGGTGACAGTTAAACCAAGTAGAACTAGAGTGATATATCCCCTAGTTATTATGCTCCCTACCATCTTCTATTTTTGGTTTACAGATGCCAAAGGAAGCATCTCCCACCATTCTGTTCAATAGCTATTAAGAGATGTATCATTTATGAATTTGTCTGGCCCCCTTTTTGAACCTGTCTATGCTATCTGCCTCTACCACCTCCTGTGACAATGAATTCCACAAGTTAACTATTCATTACATTAAAAAGTACTTTCTCTTATAAGTTTAAAGCCATCTCTTACTACCATATTTACTTGAATATAAGAAGAGCTTCCCCCCAATCAGCATGAGAAAAAAAGCCCCTCTTATTATGTTCACATACCAGAATGCCCATCCTCCCCACCCCCCATGAAATACATTGTCTATCATTAAACTGCTGCTAGAAGCAGCATGTGCTTAGTCATAGAAACCAACTATGAAGTTGATTGAATTAAGCACATAATAAATATGGCCATAAAACACATTGTCCATATTGGCAAACATACTGATAGGAGCCTTTTTCTTAGCACTTAAGAAAAAAAGGGCAGGTGTTCCCTTCATAGGGAATAGGCCTGGAGATACTGCAATACTAGGCTGGTACTAAGTGGGCCAGAGCAAGCCCTGACACCCACCCTTTAGTACCAAAAATGCTTGATCTTGTGGTGGTCAAGTGGCAAGGCCGGAAGGTCGGGCTGCGGCCAGCAGCCCGAAACGGCGGGCAGGTACTTTTTGACCGACGGAGAGGAACTAGGCACCGAAGCGTATTGGTTGAACAAATAGATTGCTTTACTTACACCGCTGATGGTCACAGTGCAGGACGAAAACTGACTTGGATTACAGTTGTAAACAGGTACAGGGTTCATTAGGTCGGTCTGCAAGGTTTTTGGGCAGAAGTATTCGGGCCGGCAGTCATTGGTTTACGTCTAAATTTTGGGTCGGTGATGGGGAGTTGTTCTTGGTAGGTGATCAGTCCACCAAGTTGCCTCTGAGGTGTTCTCTGAGGTCTCCGATTTGCTAGGTCAGATGCTCAGAGGAGTTCTCCTTAAAGTTTCTCTCTCACGTGTTTAGAGTTCTCCTTACTTTCTCACGTGCTCAGAGCTCTCCAACTTGGGCGGAAACTGCTCTTAACTTTTATATGGCTAGCAAGCCAATCGCTAGTCGCCACGTAGGAATAATTTAAAACTGGCCAATAATAATGGGAATTTGCATATGAGTGGCGGGAGCTTTTTTCTAAACTGTAATTTTCCACTATTGTAGCATTTGGTTACTGGGTTCAGGCATAGCGGAATTTTCCTCCATGACCCAGTTACTGCCACCAGAATGATTGACAGCAAAACTATGCCATATGTATCAAACCCATGGAATTTTCCTCTGTGCTATGTCATTTCTCCTCTGGGCTATACCAATTCTCCTCTGTGCTATAGGCATCTAATTAATGGGTTCTGATAGATCTTAGTAAAAAAAGGCCAAGATGCTGATTGGAACCTTCTTTTGTTTTGCTTTGGCCCCTAAAAAAAATGTCCCTCCAGAAAAGCAGGTTAGTTTAACCTATCTGAATAAAATATAAAGCCCCAGTGTACTCAGTCCCCTTCACTGCTGACTCTTTTAAAGTCATGGTGAACCACTACATTAAATACATTTTTACTTCCTCTTCACTCCCACAGCTAACCAGTGCCTTTCTTGCCCATTTTCAATGGTTCCCCGTTCTTTATGAGTCTTAAACATCTGACAAACATCAACAAACTTCTATATAGATGAGAGGCTCTGTTGCCCCCTCTATTGGCCCCTTGCATGATTCATGTGGCCCCATCTTCCATGGGTGGAGCCAGACCATACATCTGCATATAATTTTTCG